CCAAGTCTCTGGAGCAGTTCCAAGCGCTCCCTCTTTCGAAGGATGAGCTCTCTTACTCACTGGGTGATATGGAAGAAAAGACATTGCTCCCTCTTTCGAAGGATGAGCTCTCTTACTCACTGGGTGATATGGAAGAAAAGACATCAGGAAATGATTGGCAAGAAACTTACCTCAATGACACAAACATGGGGAGAATTTCTGCAGCTATTCTAGACATAATAAATATCAAGGACTGGGCTATAAGACTAGGAGGGAGATTTAGGATTGTTTGGATAAGCAGGAGGTAAGCGAGAAATTCAGCAGGAGTTTACTGTTGTCCAGCACGATCAGGACAGTGATGTCAGAGGATATTAAACTTAAGTGGAGGGAAGTAGACATGCAGATTCAAGGTCCTGCAACTCCACAGGTGTGAGACTTGGTAGCATGCAGTGTAGTTCAAGGCTCAGTCTGGGTTCGGGGTAACAGAGCAAAGCAATAGCTGTGGGTGAAAACCCTCCTCACGAGTGCGGGTGAAAACCCACTTCAGTAGTAGACGTCCACTGAGGACCTGGAAGATTTTTAGCCTTGTAGCAAGTGTCAGTGAAGGCAGTCACAAGTTTGTGGGCCTGAGAGGGAAGGCTTGGACTGCCTTTTGGCATGTTTTTCAAAGGGGTTAGCAAGCAGGCAAGGGGGGAAGTTTTGCTCTACTGTATGGGCTTGGTTGACAGTCGATCCGTCCAGGAGATACCATCAGCGCTGTCAGGGTTCCCGGGCTATGATGCAATCAGACTCGATCTCATTCACACTTTTCATGCGTGTAAACAGTAGCGCAGCAAACTGGCGACATGCGCCCACTCAAAACTCAGAGATGTGGCATCCAGATACGAGTTCACTTCCAATAGGCTATGGCGACTCAGCGCCCAAACAACTCACTGTTCACACACACCGGATCACCCTGGATATCCCACACGCGTCACTCTGAACACTCGCACACACACACACACACACACTCACACTAAACTACAGCTATGGCAGCTATGGCTGCCACTACCCTATCGCTATGCTACGCTCCTTCTCTCTCACCCACTTCAGCTCCGGGCTCTCTGCAGACCTCCTTGCACAAGTCGCTGTGGCAGTGCTTACCGCATGGCTCACGCAGGAATGAATGAATGGCTGGGCGCTGCCTCTTGATTTATACTTCTGAAACTCGGTGGTCTGCTCCTTTCCATCGCCCCGTGGTGCTCACAGTCCCCCGTGGTACTTGCTGGACCAGACTGGGACTGACTGGACCTTACCGCTGACTGACTGTGGAATCACTGCTAACCTACCGTGGTCGTACTGCGATTGCACTACAGTTTAGTCCACCACTTGACTCACCACTTGCCCACTTGCCTGTCTCTAGAAGTTCTGTTCTTGTAAACCAGCGGTCGTCCTCTGGTTCCTGATAAGCAAACCGGACCTTAAGCAAACCGGACCTTATACTGTTTCTGGGGACGACCTCTACCTCCTGTTCTGAACACATCCTCATCTACAATGTCGTCAATGTCATAACTTCCATCCATATCCGGGGGGATCATGGATCTTCTTGAAGGGAACTGTTGACTTGTGACACACGGTAACAACTTTGAAGCATGGAATACAGGGTATGTGTGGAGGTGTGTTGGGATCTCTATAGTGTAGGACGGTCCATCCTCTCCGCCCTTGACTTCTAGAACCGGCCACGGTCCTCGGTATGCAGGCAACAACTTCTGGGAGATGTGCTCCTCAGGTGCAAAACTCTTTAGATTTGACCCAGACTAAGTCGCCTACCTGAAACTGCGATGGGCGACGGTGCTTATTGGCCTGTTCTATCATTCTGTGCTGGGCCTTTCTGAGGTTCTCAACAACAGTTGCTAGTTCTTTCTCGTGTTGTACTGCGAAATCCCTGGTACTAGGTGGTAGTCTGTGAATCTGATCCCGGTTCAGTCCTTCGAATGGTCTGCGTGGTCTAAAGGACTTGTACAGCTCATTGGGTGTGCGGCAGGTGGATAGATGCACGTTGTTGTTATATGCACTAGCTACCTTAGGCAACATCTCATCCTAGTTGATCTGGTCAGGTCTAATGTACATGCGCAAAACTTGCTGTAGGATCTTGTTCATCTGTTCTGTCTGACCGTTGGTCTCTGGGTGGCGGCCAGATGACATTAACAACTTAGATCCGTAAACTCTCATGAGTTCTTGCCAGTTCTGGTTGGTGAAACGACTATCTCTATCGCTAACTATGGATAATGGGACTCCGTTCTCACTCACCCAATGATTGAAAAACTTCTGAATAACTAATTTTGTGCGTGCCTCTGCAGGCAAAGGAACAAAAACAGCATACTTGCTAAAACGGTCAACTATGACCATGACTTGGCTCTTGCCATGCCTACTCTTGACCTGAGTATCCATGAAGTCTATGGACACTGAGTCTCCAGGCTGATCAGGAATAGGCAGCGGTATGAGAAGACCTAGGGGCGCGCGTGTAGTAGTCTCATTCCTCTGGCACACTTTACAACTGCGAACATACTCTATGCAGTCATTCTTCATCCCTGGCCTGGTGTACGCACGCATCAGATTGGCTAGTGTCTTTTGCCAACCAAAGTGTCCCTCTGTGTCATGGCATTCCCCTAGGATCCTGCGGATTTCCTCACTATTGGGGACACACAGGCGGTCGAATACATTTGTCTTCTCAAACAGTAATCCTTTTGTAGTGCGGTAGTGTGGTTCGGTCTCTGGGGCCTCCTTAACTCTCTTGAGGAGGTCACTATAGATAGGGTCATGCGCATACGCTTGCCTCATTTTCTCCTGCAGGTCTCTCCCTATATCCAGATAGTGTACTATGGCTCCAAAGTAGTCTGATCTCCTACTCAGAGCATCCGCAACTACGTTGTACTTGCCCTTCACTGGCTTGAGCTCAAAGTCGTATTGGTCTATCTTAGCGGCCCACCTAGTTAACTTGGGTGTCATCTTGGCCTGGGTCTTTAACCAACGAAGTGTCTCATGGTCAGAATACACTTTGAAGTGCCTCCCAAGCAGGTAATGCTTCCAGTGCTCTAGAGCCTGCCTGAGAGCGTAGAGTTCTCTTTCGTACGTGGAGGTAGCAACTTTCTCAGAGGGCATCCTCGCTGACATGAACTCTACGGGTCTGTAGCCATTGTAGTCGTCTTGCTGCAACACGGCGCCTATCCCATACTGACTTGCGTCCGTGGTGACGACAGATGGCAAAGACGGATCTGCTACTTTGAGGACAGGGTACTCTATCAATGCGCGCTTTAGCTTCTTTAGCGCAGACGTACAGTCTTTGTCCCATTGCCAGATTGCCTCTTTCTTTAGCAACCTGCGCAAGGGAGCAGCGATAGTAGAGAAGTTCCTCACGAACTTCCTATAGGAATTACCTAGGCCTAAGAACGACCGCAACTCTGTCCGTGTGCGGGGCGTTGGCCAATCTCTAATCGCCGCTATCTTACTGTCCTCTGGCTTAATGCCATCTCCGTCTAGTACGTGGCCCAAGTACAGGACTTGCGTCTTGGCCCACTTGCACTTCTTCGCGTTGATCTTGAAGTTAGCCTCTCTAAGCTTCTCCAAAACTTGCCTGAGATGACCCTGATGCTCTTGGAGTGTCTTGCTGAAAACTAATATATCATCCAAGTAAACTATTACAAACTTATCTAACCAGGGTCTAAACAAATCATTCATACAACGCTGAAAGGTGGCTGGCGCGTTGGTTAGTCCAAAGGGCATCACGATGAACTCGTAGTGCCCATATCTAGTCCGGAACGCGGTCTTATACTGGTCATCAGGGTGGACTTCTATATGATGGTATCCGGACTTTAAATCTATCTTAGAGAAATACTTGCAACCCTGCACCCGATCTAAGAGATCGTCTATCCTGGGCAGTGGTTCAGCATTCTTCACAGTAATCGCATTCAAACCCCTGTAGTCTATACACATTCTCAGCTCTCCTTCCTTTTTAGGGACAAACAAAACTGGTGCTCCAAAAGGAGACGAACTGGGCCTGATCCAACCTTTCTCCAGGAGCTCGTCCAATTGCTTACGTAGCTCCTCTAACTCTCTAGGGGACATCCTGTAGACTGCTCCCTTAGGAGTTCTACTGCCAGGCTCTATGGGTCGCGGCACTACTCCTGTCGGCGACTCTGTCAAGTCTTTGAACTCTTCCAGCAGCTTGGCAATGGTTGGATCTGTGGAAGTCACCTCTTCCTTAGCCTCAGTGACAGGTCTAACATAAACTACAAAGACCTGGTCCTCTAATTGCTCCTTTTTCACTAATCGCGCGAACGCGGGAGCACTGAGACAGCAATGTGTCAAGGTGTTGTGTGCACGTGACACATGAAACAGGTGGGCAGTCTTAACCTCGCCTGACGGACTAGGGAGCCTACACTCATGCTCTCTCAAGTGGAGTGTGGCCCCTACTGCCTCTCCCCAATCCATTCCTAACACCATGTCGAAAGGAAGGTCACCCTGTACGAGGAGAGTCAGGGAATGGAGAACTTTCTCCACTTTCCCATCCTTCTCTAAGCGAAAGTACGCCTGGACTCCCTTTACGTAGTCCTCAACACGCATTGTGCGGTTGTCTGCGAGGACACTGACTATGGGGTCTACCAATTTTTGGACTTTTAGTCCTAGCCTTAGCTTTTTCAGCGCTCTGCGACTAATATAACTACGGGTGGCCCCTGAGTCTATAAGGGCCCCTACTCTACTTCTAAACACCTCTACATCTACCAAGATTAGCTGTCCCTTACTCTCCTTCTTCATCTTGGCCCATCCTGGCATCCTCTCCTTCAGCTCTTCTGCCACACCTGTGAGGGACGTGCCTAGAGAGACGCTAACACAAGCAGTCTCTGGACAGCTAGCTAGGCACGGGCCTGCAACTTCTGCCATAGGCTCATGTGGTTTGGGAGTTTCCTGTTCGCGCGCGCTCACTTCCCCACATGGCCTTGAAGTAGGGGCAGTTGCGACCCCTACTGGCGGCTGCCTTTTGACTGCTGGGCAGCCCAACGGGCCTGTCTATACTTGGGACAAAATTTTATTACATGGGCAGGGTCACCACAGAATACGCACTGACCCTGGTCCACGTGTTCTTGCCATACGCGTTGGTCCAAGCCCAAATCTTCCTAGGGCCTGCCCTGTGGCAAGCCTGGGTGCCATCCTCCTTGAGGTGCCCTTCCACCTCGTCGCTGTGGGGACCGACAAGAACCTTGACGATTTGGCGGGGGACCTTGACCCCTACCTCCCACTTGGCGGTTCCCTTGTCCGCTTGTGCGCCCGGTCCTCGGCCTCCCATGGCCTGGCCCCTTTGGCCCTGGCCTCCTCCTCTACTTTGCGGCCTCCCTCCAGCCGCGACAGCAGCATAGGACCTCCCCTGCCCGACGCTACTGTCCTCCTCCTCAAGGCCCCACTCGATCTGACTATATGGGACCTCATCTGTACCACCCTCCTCTAAGGTAAGGATCATATGATCCTTGGCCCTAACTTGGCCTGAGATGGTACGGCCTTTCCACCTTTTGCCCTTTTCTAAGTCCTTATGCCAGAAAGTGGAAACTGGCATGGACTTGGCCTCAAACAGCACCACCTCTCTACTGAGCGCATCGTATGTCATGGTGGGTTGTTGGAACTTATCAAGAAAGTGCCCACGCAGGGGCTCTGGCATGGCACGATTAAATAATTGGACCAATTGGGGCTCAGTGACCCCATGGTCTGGGACGGCTACCAAGTCGTCAAGAACGCCCTTGAGTGCCTTGGCACTCCTCCACTGTCGTGAGTGGATCGTTTGGAGCTTATCAGAGGCTCTGACGCCCCTGCGAAGATCAGCAAAGCGCTCTCTAAGGAGCTTGAAGAATTGAGGGAGGGGGGTGACGTTGGAATAGGCGACCATGTTGTTTTCACAACCGGCCGCGTGCGTGAGAGACCTAGCGAAACTAGCCGCTTCGTCCTTGAGGGCTTGGAAAGCTACCAGGACTTGATCGTCCTGCACTATGTGCTGTAGGTAAACGTAACTGTTTACACTAGCCTCGCAGTTATCGAAGTTCTCGTCAGATTTCCCCCCGTAAGCATCGGGGAACTTAAGCTTGACTGGGTCGTTGCGAGGCCTGGCCTCGCCTTCTACAGCGGCTACCGCTTTGGCGCCCTCGATAGCGCCCTCACAAAACTTCCCCACGTTGTCTCTCAACCTTCTTACTTCTCCCCCAACGTGGGTAACCATATCCCTAAACCCCGACCGCATGGCACTCAAGGCTACCTCCTGACTCCAACTGGCCTGGCGCTCCTCCATCCGTGCTGCGCTCAGCACCTCTAGGTATCCCAACACTTTATCCCATTTGGCCTTGTCGTCTGCCTGCGCCTCCACTTCTTGCCTACAGGCCTGCACCTTTGCCACCTCTGCGGTCAGCCTATTGACTTCCTCCCTCCTCTTCTTCTCCCTCTTCATTCTCAACTTCCATTCCAACTTCTGCTCCTCCTCTCTTTCTCGCCGTTCCATGGGGTCCTCCATTGCCATTAGCTCCCTGGCTAACGCATCTCTCTTATCCTGAGGCACATAAGACTCCGCCTCCTCATCTTCCCCCAATGATAAAGTAGCGACCCACTCGCTTATCTTCTTCTCCATCTCTGCTTCTTCGTCCTTTTTCGTGCCACTGCTCCCCTCTCTACTCTCAATACGCATTCTCTCTTTTTCTTCTTCTGCTGCCGCTTCTTCCTCAACAGCCTTTCTCCTCTCTTCCTCCTCCTTCTGAACTTTCTTCATCCTCTCCTCCAACGTCTTCATCTTTGCCGCCTGCTCCTCTGCGATTGCCTTTAGCTTCGCCTGCTTCTCGAGCTCCTTCCTCTCTTTGTTTTCTTTCACTAGGGCGGCCATCTTCTCTTGCTGCTCCTGGGTGTTGGGGCTAGTGCTCTTCCCACTCCGGGTGTCAACCATGGTGATAGAACGATTCCACTCCTTTCCACTTAGACTCTAACCCCTGACTGACAAACCTATTGACTCAATCTAAGACTCACAGAATCCGGACAGGGATCCTGCCAACTAGGGTCTCTAGACTGGACCAAACTATGGTTGTCACTACTAGACCTTTGCTGATCAAGAGGCATTTAAGGAGATCCCCCGTAACTCCTCAGGAATTATTTAACGTCGCAAACAGGACGACGCGATCAGCAGGTCTCTCAAGACTTAGACGACCTGTTGTGCAGCCCACAGCTCAGATTTCGGGCCTACCGTGCCACATCGAGCAGCCCGCCGGACAGTACCGGTCCTTGGGAGGGTTTGGCCTCCGGGACAGTCGAGTCGTCAGACACAGTCTTTAGCCTTACTCAGCCCGTGTGGGTTTGGTCAACAAGGCCCTATCCTTCATCCACAGAGTACTATCACCTAGGACAGAAGAGACTCGATGCAGAAAGAATAGACAGACAGACTGGACTCAGCAAGTACCAAGGGGTGTGTGCACATCCATAGGGCGAGGGACAGGCTAAAGGCTTGGCGAGATGTTACCGGCTCCAGCTTGGTCAAAGTCTTGGTCAACGCCTTGGTCAACGCCGGTCAACGTTGTGGTCAACTCCCGGTCAGCCATTAGTCAACTCCGGTCAATGCCGGTCAACACCTCCGGTCAACCCTCTCGGTCAACCCTCCGGTCAGCTATGGCTGCTGGCTCCTCTTCCTCGCCAACCGTCTTCTCCCTTTCACCTTCCTCGCCTCCTTTCACCCCGACTGTCTTCTTCTTCTCTTTCTTTTTTTTTTTTTTTTT